AGAAACATTCATAGAGTTTATGGAGATGAATGTGTGAATGAAAGAACTTGCAGAAAATGGTTTGCAAAATTCAGAGGTGAAGATTTCACCCTTGAAGATGAAGATCGAACCGGATGTCCAGTTGAGTTTGATGAAAAGCTTCTTGAAGCAGCCCTTGAAGAAAATCCTGCTTTATCAGTTGAGGAATTGGCAGTGGTTCTCAGTTCAGAGCATACAACTGTTCATCGTCATTTTCAACAACTTGGAAAAGTTCCTAAACTTGGAAAATGAGTGCCTCATGAATTGTCTGAAAACAACTTCAAATCCCGAGTTGACATCTGCTCTTCTCTCCATTCTCGCCAACTTGTTTCAGCTTTTTTTGGATAGACTTGTGACTGGTGACGAAAAATTGATCTTTTATCGAAATGTTAAGCGTCGTAGACAGTTGCTTGGTAAAGGGGAAGGACCTCAACCACAGCCGAGAAGGGAACTTCATAGACAAAAGTTTCTTCTTTCAATCTGGTGGGATCGCCAAGGAATACTCCACTTTGAATTCTTACCACCTAATGCAACAATTAATGCTCAAATATACTGTCAGCAATTAGAGCGTTTGAACCAAGCTTTGATGAAAAAAAGACCTGCTCTAGTGAATCGAAAAGGGTTGATGTTTCATCAGGACAATGCGCGACCCCACACAGCAAGAATCCCGTCACAAAAGATCGAAGAACTTGGTTGGGAGAAAATTCCTCATCCACCTTATTCTCCCGATCTTGTTCCTTCAGACTACCATTTGTTTCGTAGAATCGACAATAGTAATGATAATAATAATAATAATAATAAAATACAATAATAATAGACAATAATAATAATCAGTAATAATAATAATAATCGACAATAGTAATGATAATAATAATAATCGGCAATAATAATAGATAATAATAATCGACAATGATAATAATAATAATCGACAATAATAATAATCAGTAATAATAATAATAATCGACCATAATAATCATTAATAATAATAATCGGCAATAATAATAATCAGTAATAATAATAATAATAATCGACCATAATAATCATTAATAATAATAATAAGTGACAATAGAAATGATAATAATAATAATCGACAATAATAATAGACAATAATACTAATCGGCAATAATGATAGTAGATAATAATAATAATAATCAATGATAATAATAATAATAATAATAATAATCGGCAATAATAATAATAATCAATAACAAATAGTGAGTAAAAAATTTAACAATAACAGTCATGATGATATAATAGACCTTACTACCCATAATGCACCACAGACCATCATCTATAAATATTCGAGCCAAAACACAACACACAAATCCTGAAGATTGCATTGAAGAGTGAAACAAACTGTCATCGTATGTGTGTATGTGTGTATATGCTCGTGTGTGTATGTACATGTGTGCGTATATTAGGTGAAGTCATGAGTAATTTCTGTTATTACGGAACAAATTGTAATGACGAATCTATCATCCTAACTCCTTATCATGCGTTGTAGTTAAGAATAAATTTAGTGTACATTAGCATACCTTAGTTTTTATCCTGGCAGTGGCAGCGTACACAGTGGATTAAAGGAAAATGTGCTTCTCTTCCATAGCCATACTCAGCAAGGATAAAATAAAAAAGACAATTGGAACCCGGTTGGTCTGTTCTACCCCACCCACATTATTGCCTTGACCTTGCACATCAAACCCTGCGGCATGTTACTAAAAAATTATCGAATTGATAAATCGTAACAAATAATGGCAAATATATGATTGAACAAAATGTTACTGTACTTTGTTTTGTAAAAGGATTAAAAAGAAATTGTATGTCAGCATTAATTAGCTTATGGCATGTTTTTCGGAGTTACTTTTGTGTAAATGCAAGCTTTCTTTAGCGTCATAGAGCATTCATCAAAAGTCTCAATAATGTCTTCCGAAACATCTGCCTACCGCAGTCAGTTTCTTCGCGTGCCTGTAAAAGTCGTTGTGTACGATGGCTGGCAATATCCTCTTGACGTGCACGCTTAAAAAAGATCAGCTATTAATCATAATCTGAAATGTTACTCAAATGAGTGACCCTCAAAGAATGTAACCGATTGCCAGGTAAGCAATCGCTAATTCACGCGCAGTTTGTGTCGGCGTGTGGCGTGAGCTTTAAGTTCTCGACAATCTAAACATTTCACAGCGAGTGGCAAATTCGGTTCCCTTTCAATTAATACAAGATTAAATAAGAGAAATAGAAACAGAAATTAACTCTAATTGAAACATATGTAATAATTATTAGTTAATAATGCATTTCAAAATTATATATTTTTTAAACATATATATATATATATATATATATTATATATATATATATAATATATATAAAAATATATTTTTTTATAATATAGAAAACCATTTGACGCACTACAAAGATGATGTACCTAAACTTTTTGACCGGTGCTTATCGGTAAAAAAATTTCCACAAACTAGTCAAAATTAAACACCCAACCCTTTCTTCACCAAATTGCTATGAACAAGTACTATTGTTTCACTCCGTCACGTTTTTTTTTTGTTTATCTTCATGGCCAGGACGAGCAATTAAGAGGTGTTTCTACGCTCCTCAAAACCTCCCGATCAGAGGACTTGCTGCCGGATGTAGTTTATTATCATACCCAGTAAACCAGAAACGCGAATACGTCAAGAATGCTGCGATATTGAGGAGACTTTTTTTTAAGCATTCAACCCCAAGCCAGGCGGGAAGCCACTAGCAAACAAGGGGTTACAGAGTTGGAGCTAGAGCAAATAGGAGTGATAGAGGAAAGGATGAAGAGAAGGATAGGGGATAGATCAGGGTATCTGGAGATGTCTATTGACGTTACATTTGAATAGTTGGAGATTATAGCTATCAGGAAAACAAGAAAGGGGATGGCGTTCTACAGGCGAGAGGTGCGGGATACGAAGCTATTGAAGTAGAAGAGACGGCTACATTTAACAGTTTCAACAGTGAAAGGGTGTGAGCGAGATGCCAGCCTAGTTGAACGCTTAAATTCATGAAGTCTGGGAACCAGCGAAAGCAGCTCATCGGAGCAGTTACCGTGAAAGTATTTGTAAAAAAGACAGAGGGAGGCAACGGCACGTCTGTGAGAGAGCGACTGCAGACGAGATGCCAGATCAGGGCCAATTACATTGCATATCCGTCTTTGGATTTTATCAAGGACCGTGAGACAATTAGAAGGGGATACAGACCATATATGGCAGCAATAATCCATGCAAGGGCGAATGGTTGATTTGTAGATTTGAAGGATCGACTCTGGCGAGAAAAATTTCCTTGCGCGGCACAGGGAGCCAACTTTCCTAGCGGTGGACGAAGCTATTGACTCAATGTATTCGTTCCATCTCAGGTCAGTGGACAATGTGAGACCGAGCAGTTGCAAGGAGGTGCTCTCGTGACGTTGGCCGTCAGATATTCTAATGGGAGACAAGGATGGTTCTCTCTGGTGAGTAATAGAGAGCAGTTTTGTTTTTGAGGCATTAAAGTTAACCAGCCAATACCTGCCCCAGTCCATAACCGATTGGAGGTCCTTTTCAAGATAAACAACCAGGTTAGTTTTGTCGGTGACACTTCTGGAGTATTGAGATTTGAGGAAGTATTGAGGAGAGTTTGTTTTTGTGGAGAAGGTAAATGTAGTAAGGAGAGTGTGGAAGTGTTGAGGATTCTTGCAGTCACTTGATCGTAGGCAAAAGCCACCTTCTACAATTAGGAATTCATTCACGTAATAATACCTTGAAATCGAAATCTCAAATATATGGTAGATAGGAACATCAACAAACCCCGTTGTAGTTGGAGCCCTCGGATTGATTGGAAAAGATTCCAGTAGACTCATTGAAGGGATTCCTTCAAAAAAATACAAAAAAATGTTCTCATGAGTACAGCCCACACCTTATGTAGGACTCTTAGGGATATTTTTTTTTTTTAAGTGGAAAATGTCATGATGCCATTTCTAACCTTAGGTCTCTGGGCGGGACCCGGAAAGAAATGTGTACACGCCAGATATCAAAGGAAATAAAATAATAATAATAATAATAGCAGTAATAATACTGAAAGAGAGATTTATAAAGAAGGGAGAAAGATTAGCAATAATTATAATTGTACGCCAAATCTATTTAGATCAACTGGTTAGGGTGGGAATTTAAGGGAGACTCAAAATGAAAATGGGTGAAGGGAGACACACGCAGAGAGAGAGAGAGAGAGAGAGAGAGAGAGAGAGAGAGAGAGAGAGAGAAAGAAAGAAAGAAAGAAAGAAAGAAAGAGAAACAATGGTTATATTTCAAGCTGAAAAAATATCTGAATGACTGTCATCCCAGTAGTTACAGAGACACTGGGTAACCAAATCTCTTAAAAGGAAAACCGAGAACGAAAAGAATTTGTAAAGTACCTAGAAAGTATGACAACTGGGATAAAAATGATAAAAATGCACCAACCAGGCAATTATACAGAAAACCACGAAAAGTATGGAAAATATTTACTTGTCATTTCTTATCTTTGTGCAATGGTGGGACCTACATCAAAGACATTTGATTTTCAGCCATGTTTCAATTTAATGTCTACTAAATATTTCTCTGGCCATAATGAATTTGAGGTTAGCGTAACACATTAGTTCGAATTAGTATCAGGTCATCCCATAAGTTCTGTCCGAATTTTGAATAAAGAAAACAAGTGACCAAATGTTACATTTAATTACAGATTCAATCAACAATGTATTTTCCCTGATTATCTATGACTTCCTTCTATCTATTAACAAGCTTACTAATTCCATTACTGCAAAATTCTTTTGGCTTTGATTCGAAGAACTTACAAATGTCAGTTTTAACCTCTTCCTGTGTTACAAAAGTTGTTTCGTCCAAATGATTCTGTAAGCTACGAAAAAAATGGTAGTCTGAAGGAGCAAGATCGGGAGAATAAGGTGGATGAGGAATTTTCTCCCAACCATGTCGACAAGGTTTTTAATGCTGGTATTAGTTTTTATCTATCTATCTATCTATCTATCTATCTATCTATCTATCTATCTATCTATGTTCATATATATATATATATATATATATATATATATATATATATATGGTACTCTTCCGTATGTGTTTGTTTCGGCTGAATACAGAAAAATATATACATATAAAAAAGCAAAACATTTTAGTTGGAACAGCTGAGCAAGCGCTTCAGAAAGCCACACAATCCAAGGCACAAGTGGCTCTCATGTGTACGTCAAATTATCTCGCCGATAGGGGGCAGAGCTAGGCACAAACGCAAACTATCAAGAAAAAAAATGTAGTAAAATGTCGGTAACTGCATCGGATTTTAACGCACTTCAAAACCGTTTCCGGCATATTCTTTGCAAAACGTTGTACAATTGATGAAAATAAACAGGTCGAGGATGTGTTTAGTCCAAAGAAAACACCTGGTGTTTAGAGTATCTAAGAAAAAGATCAACACCCGCCGGCCATATTGGAGCGTGTATGATGGGTACAGGATAGAAATGTGTGAATGAGATGTGGCCGCAAGGGAGGGAAATCCTAAACACAGGTTTGTTATTCTAACGATTGGCACCTTCGATGTTCACCGTTTCTTAAGTAGTGAATTTATTTATGTGAAACTGTGATCTTCTTTAGGTCTTTGTGGAATGTCGTGGAGTTCATGACGTGTGTCGGTTGAAGTGCCCAAACTCGATGAACATGCAGCTATTATAAGCGGATATTTATATCGAGGAGAAATGTTCCTCTCGTAAAACAAGGGGAAAAAGTATATAATTCTTATGCAATACATCCCGTCTATATGACAGTGAATGCTGGACAATCTTCTCACATATGTAGAAAAGACTTCAGACGGAAGAAATGGGGTTATGCAGAATGGATACTGGGAATGCTATCGACTGAACATGTGGAGCAAGCGCTTCAGAAAGCCACATAATCTAAGAGACAAGTGGCCCTCATTTGTATATCAAATAATTTCACCGATAGGGGGCGGAAGTAGGCACACACGCAAACAATTAAAAAAAAAAAAAAGAAAAAAATGTCGGTAACTGCATCTGAATTAACTCACTTCACAATCGTTTCCGGTATAATGATACCAAGGAGAAAAATTCTTCTCGCAAATATGGGACATTTTTTGTGTGACTAATTTTTATTAACATTCATTAAAGTTTCTTCTAAGTACGGTATTGTCAGAATAAAAACAAAAAAAAAAAAATTTTTTAAAATACCATTCGGAAAAATTTATATTGCTATTGCTTAGAAGACCAGAGTTAAGATGGTCGAGTACGGTGTTGAGTTTTCTGTCGTTTCCCACGCTGGTATCAACGAAAATGTCCATTTTTTGTTCTTATTCGTTTTATTAGGAGAGAGTCGTGGCAGCTTAGATCCTAAGAGGCAGCGGAAGGAATGACGTCACAAGAAAGTACATCGTTGGTTCAGCGTCCCTTCGCGCGTATTCTCATTCGGTTGCTAACATGGCGATGGCAATCGTATCGACGCTTCATAATTCATTCAACTATCTGTTGAATTGGTGCCGTTTTGAATTTAGATCCATAACCCAGACAAAAGTCATCCATTACTGTCAGAATACTACGTCGACGAAGCACTCAGGTCAATCGCTGATCATTTTGGCCCTGGCCTTCGCATTCTGTAACGCTGGATTTTAGTTTTTTCCTATTCATACTACAAATATAGAAACAAATTGAAGGTCATATAACGAGGTGTTTTACATGTAATGTTCAAAGTGCTTGATTTTGGGATCACTGCACAAACGCAAGTGAAAAAGTGGCAAACACGCTCTCAGGATTCGATATTAATCTCTTCAAACATTGTAGAGATATGAGCCTCCAGTAATCTAAATAGTACGAGGCTTTTCACGATGAACAACGTTTTTCATGGGTCTTCCAAGAAAGAAATTTGGAGTTTTGAGGACTGAGGAGCGTGATGGTTAATCAATCTGACCCTAACTGCTTGATATTGTACTTAAGTCTGTAATAACTACATACTCCAGATGATATCCTTTGTTTTAATTAAGAATTTTACTCATTTCTTTTTAAATAAATTATTATGGTATTTTTTTTTTTTGGTTTCGGCTTTATCAACCTATTAACTGCCAAATTTTTTAATGCACATTTTGGACCCAGACCGGTGTCTTAGAAATTTATTTATTTTTTATGTTTAATTTCAGTAGTTACCATTGTCGTTCTTATAGAAACTAGAACATCAAATATATATGTGTATAAAACATCAAAAAATAATATTGATTAGAAATAATAAAAAATACTTTTCAAAATAGTCATTATTTTTCTACTCGTGAAATGTAAAATTACGACAGAAAGTGTCTTCTTACGGCTAATAATAAAAACTTTAAATGCTAAGTGTTGTAAAATATACCTTTGCAAATGCAATGTATGTAAGCAATTCAATGTAAATACAAGGAATAACATGTAGTGAGTTTAATTTTAACAGATCCCCAAATGGGATACATGGCAAGTAAAGGGTTAAAGAGGCAGTTACAAAATCTTAGGAAAATAATAAATATTTATATGAAATGCCGATCTGTTCTCTCTAAAGTTATGAAGTCAAGTTCTAGAATACAGTTCAGTATTTATGGTTTGGTTTGTTTTATTTTACGGCATATCAACATCTCAATGGGTCATTTAATGCCGAAAACTTTTTTTATGGTAATATTTTTGTTTTGTCAAAAATTCATTTCTTTTAATATTTTTTTTCTCAAAAACGTATAGCAGGTAATATTATTTATTCAAAAACGTACAGCTGGCAACATTATTTTTTCAAAAACCTTCTGATCAGGGGCCTTGCTGTTGGACGTAGTTTATCGTCATACCCAGGACGCGGATGTAGTTTATTGGTATACCCAGGCCGAGATCTGGGTTTAGAGGTTAAATATTTGCCCATAGCTGGGACCCTAACAGGTGCTACTATCCCGGGTTAGGATGGACCTGGGAACAACAGCAATTAAGAGGTGATTCCACGCTCCTCAAAACCTCGCGATCAGAGGCCTTGCTGTTGGACGTAGTTTATCGTCTTACCCAGGACGCGGATGCAGTTTATTGTCATACCCAGGACGGTCGGCATATATATATATATATATATATATGACGTTTGTATACATCCATATATAATATTTTAAAATTTCACTTTCTCTGCCGTGGGTTGATATCTTAGGGTAGGATCTCTGACTGATGCCAAATTGGTTGGGTTTCGATCCCGGCTTGAAACAATTTGATCTCTAACCAATATGATGAGATTTGATACATATGTATAGCTGATGTTATATTCTACATCTTAACTACGGAGATTCTATTTTGTAAGTGTACAGTCCACTCCTCAGTAGGTTTCAGCAACATATAAAGAATTAATGGATTTATTTTTAATCCGATGTTTTTATTACTTCAAGTGCTTTATTATAATGGCGCCTCATATTTGAAATAGACGCCCCGTTTATGTTTTGTAAACAGCGTGAATTACGTCCATAGTCCTGCGCATTCGAGAATTCTACGTAAAGAAAATGATCTCCTACCGGGATCGAACCTGCATCTCTTTAGTGTAAGCCAGACCAACGTCTACCTCATTGACTCTCTCTCTCTCTCTCTCTCTCTCTCTCTCTCTCTCTCTCTCTATATATATATATATATATATATATATATATATATGAGTCAGACCAACGTCTACCTCAGTGACTCTCGCTTTCTTTCTCTCACCGCCTCTCTCTCTCTTTATATATATATATATATATATATATATATATATATATATATATATATATGAGTCACACCAACGTCTACCTCATTGACTCTCTATCTATATCTACCCTTTTTATCAGACGTATAAGGTTATTTTTGTCACGAGTGTAAAACGGATCTACCTTTGACATTGGAAACCGGAAATATGCCTACCATTTTATCCTGATGTAAACTGGACGTATGTCTACCTTTTTACCTCTGGTGCAAACATAATCTATATCTACCTTCTTACCTCTGGTGCAAAACGGACATATGGGTACGTTTTCACCTCTGGTGCAAACAGTGCCTATGTCTACCTTTTTATCTGTGGTGTAAACCGGACCTATATCTGCCTTTTTACTTATGGTGAAAACTGGACCTATATCTACCTTTCTTACATTTGGGGCAAACCGGACCTGTATCTACCTTCTTACATTTGGGGCAAAGCGGACCTATATCTACCTTTTTGCCTCTGACGCAAACCGGACCTATGTCTGCCTTCTTACTTTTGGGGCAAACCGGACATATGCCTACCTTTTTACCTCTGGTGCAAAACGAACCTATATGTCTACCTTTTTTACTTATGGTGCAAACCGGACCTATATGTACCTTCTTACCTCTTGTGCAAACCGAGCCTATGTCTATCTTTTTATCTTTGGTGCAAACCGGATTTATATGGACATTTTTTATGTATATTGCAAACCGGACCTATAATCTACCTTCTTACATCTGGTGCAAACCGGATATTATGTCTACCTTTTTACCTAGGACGTAAACCGATTTATTTGGTTTTGCTTCTCGATGGTAAATAACTAAACAAATGTTGATACGTCAAACTAATCAATCTAAATTAAATAATTAACACATTTTTATTTTATTTTGCAGTTCTTCTTCTCTTCTCGCTGTTGGCATTTAGCTGGTCGTACAGAAGAAGTAAGTAAAATCTTTTTTTATTAATATTTTTGTACGGTCATCCTCATCTTGATTGTTTTTGTCACAGCAAGTATGCACTGAGAACAAAGTAGCGAGTTTCCATAAGGTTTTATTTTTTATTGATTATAGTATAAATTAATCTGATGTCAAATCAACACAAATGAGTCAAATATGCAGGAGTAAATTCATTACGCTAGCGAATCTATCTTGTCTACAATACATTTTCAGCCATTTTTACATCATCCATTATGAAAGCCAATCATTTTGGATTGAACTCATTCGATTTTAAGGTGAAATCCAGACTAACCATTGCTCAATGGAGGAGCTGAGAATCTTTTTCTTCTATGCGCCGTATCCCTTCGGAACGT